CCCCAAAACCCCAAAACCCCAAAACCCCTTAAATGAGATAAAGGGATTAATAGTCCGTTAATTACAAATTAATAAAAATGTAAAAAGCTAACTTCTATGCTATCAAAGTGGTGATATTATTTATATGTTTAGCTTAACTACATGCTAATGCATTTGATAATGAATCTAATAAATTTAGTGAGAATGAAGAAAAGCATTTAGTTTTAGATAATATTTAGCCAGAAGTTTCTTATTAGATTCAAGCGGGGAATCTTGACTTATCTAAAATAATCATATAATCTGATAACGTAATCGAGATTCTTTTTGGAGATCAAAGTAATTTGAACCATGAAAACTATATTACTGCATTCAGAGTAAATAGCTTATAATAGGACATAAGAAACCTATTTTAATAAAAAGAGCAATAATCTTAGTTGTTTTTTAGAATTAGATAAACAATAGTTAATGTCAACACCTAAGTCAAAATCAAGATATTTTCCCCTGAATAACAAAAGCAAAAAGCTTTATTTGGACATGGAGGCTCAAACAAATAATAGGTTAGTGAAGAGCCAAAAGAACTTTGGCCTTTGTTTGCGACATCAATCGGAGTGATTGTGGGAATGATCATACTGTGCCAGTGTTTAGCTAATTAATAGAAGAAGCATAATGATGATCCAAAACATGAGCCTTTGCTGAAATGAAATAGATTAAATTACACTAAAAGATGATATTTATTGTTAATTTAGTAGTTCATATAAATTAAACTTATAAATCAACCATAAATTAACGCTTAATCAGTTGAGCAAAAGCATGTAAGCCCCACCACAAAATAGCTTTGAATTTTCAGTAATGTCTAAAGACAATATCTCTTAAGGTGAATGTCTATCTAGCTTATCATCTAAGCCCAAATTACCATGCTCATTCCAGCCCCAGGAGTATATTTTATTATCATTTGTTAAGGCAACGAATGATTCTGATTGGCAATATACTTCTCTTATTAACTACTCCTAAATAATAATTTCTTGCCACTCACTTGAAAACTTAAGCTAGTCTTATTCCTGTTGTCCTTGAGCTAACTAGCCATATTTATTATCACCAACTATATAATAGCTAATCTAATCAGAACGATTCTTCATCATGATTATAGTATTATTCCATGAGGCATAGATTTTTTTAATTTAACAATCTGAATCTACAAATTTACAAGGCAGTTAAATATTTTGAAGTTAATTCTTATCCATCAGTTCCTTTAGCCCAATTTATCCTACTTTATTTGAACCACAACAATATATTTAGCTTTAATCCTCGCTTAATAGAATTGTATGTTTAAATCCTGATCCAATATATTTAGCTTTTACTGATAATTTCATAGGCATATAATATTTTGGTTGTTGCTCTTCTTAGACTAAGCCTAATTCATAAAATTTATTAGAACCAAAAGCAAAAACATCGTTATCTTAACTTATTACATAACTTGACCTTACTCCTGCAGATATTTCTTTAAACTTTTATCCTTCATCAAATTTAACCAAAACTGGTATTTCTTGATATTTAACCCAAGCTGACTATCCTAGCTATCCATAATTGTTCTTTCCAAAAGAGAAAATCTAAAACTCATTCATAATCAAAGTATGCTCAAAACCGCACGAGACTTTTTAAACTTTATTATCAATCTAAATTTGTCTCGGGATAGACATACAAATTTCTTTACCTTTAGATCCCTCAACAATATGCTCTCCCCAAATATATAGTTTATCATTCTTACTATTGTAGAGCATAGAATGCTTAGGCCCACAATAGATATCAATGCATGATTCAATATCTATCTCAAAAATCTCTTTAAAATCTTATATTTTCTTAAAGCATGTCCAATCATCATCTTTCTAATCATGAAACAACTGCCCATTATAGCCAGTCCCTACTCCATATAACATCGGTATGCTTGATTACATTTTAATGAAATTAAGTTTAAATTAATAATTATAATATCAAGTTTAAAGTGAAGTAATTGAGGCAATCTTAAGTACTTTATTTCACTTCGCTAATCTCAATGCGTTGAGCTTGTGAATGAGTGGATCTACTGATTTATGAGGATTGCTAATGTTATTATGAACCACTTATTTGGAGAATTATTCAAGTGGACTTATATAATCTTTCAGGTGAACTTCCTAGTAGTTTTTAAGGACATCATTTGATATTAAATAATTTTGACCATCTCCATTGCCATCAACTGCTGCATTTATCACCTACTTGTTGCTCTCTCTGTTCAAGAAATCAAACATTTGATTATCTATCTTGTCAAGTGCATCCTATGAGAGTTAGAACTTATCCAAGTCTTATAGTCTCCGAGCATTAACCTTGTTTAAAGATTCTGCCTTGAATATATCTTAATTCATCTTTTCTTTGCAAAAATCATCTAAGGTAGGGAGCTGAGGCCACATATCATCCATTATTTTAATTGAGTTATTTTATATAACCTTTGAATCAGATGGCAACTCTCCTTCTTTTTTCAACTTTCGTTTCAAGTTAACCTCAGTCTTCCTGAGTTCAATCGGAAATGAGTTTACAGCAGGAAACTTTTTATATTTGTCTTCAAGCTTTCTTTCTCTATCTTACCATCTTTGGAACAGAACATCATATATGTAATTGTGCCTCATGTCCTCTTTTACCTGCTATTTATGTAGCTTAGATTTAATCTTTTTCAAGTGATCAAGAGCTCTTATTCTAGCCTTATCAGTATCCTTGGTTTAATCTTTAAGCAACTTCATTTACTCTAGCATTGCCACTTCATCTTACTGCATTTTACCCTTCATAATTTTTACCTCCCTCTGAATTATCTCCTTAACTTTTTCATTTATGTCTGATGGAATGTATTTTCCGTTGTCCCAGTACATTTAGGATTAGACTGGATCCATAACCCCTTTTTGCCACCATTCATTTCCTTTTTATGGCTGATTTACAGGGTTGTCTATCCAATCCATATCTACAACATTTACTCTTCTCTTTGGATTTTTAGAAAATTCATCTCTGAATTATAATCTTAAGCTTTACCTTGTAGTACTTCTATCCATTGAGCTATCTCTGCTCCTATCTAATTCTTTATATCTAGAATTTGGAAGTCTTAAGTCTACCATTGATTAAGCGTTTCTACCTCTGACAGGTTGATCCTGACCTTAGCCGAGCGCTTAGTTTCTTCTTTTCACATTTATATCTTAATCCAATCTTGAGTCTGTCATTTGTCTCTCTTTTTAAAGTCTTAGCTCTTCAATTTAATCTTCTAGGGCTTTTTGTCTGTATTAATCTGCTCTACTTACTAAAAGAGTGATAATAAATCAATGATGAATAAATAAATGTAAAACTTACGCTTATTCAATTCAATTTATGTTAGTAACTCATCTCTGTAGTGCGCTTTTTTCAATTTTTCAACAGGCTCATTTTCATTGTAAGGTCTAGTAACTGTTCATAAAATTTAATTTCTAAGATATCTTACTCTTCGAAAGAATGGCAGAGGCTGGAGAGGCTAATCCTTTTTGATAAGCAAGCGCATTCAAGGGATTTAATCCAGCGAGAGTTCCACCTGGTAAACCTAAGCCGCCTAATTAAAGCTATGGGAGTAATGTCTGTCTCATCAGTAATTGCTATTATTGTGGGAGAGTATTAAGCAATTATAATTGCTATGCTTTATTCATAGTTTGATAAGGATTAGCAAGTAAGCCCCCTGGAATTGTTTGAACTGATGTTCCATATGTTGCTCCAAATGGCAGCATTATAGTTTTATAAAATTTATTATATTGAAATTGCAAATGTTGAATTTCCGAAATTGAGAAAATTCTATTCATTGAGGGGTTTTGGGGTTTTGGGGTTTTGGGG